TGTTTTTTTTTTGTCTTAACTATTTATAAACCACTTCATTAAATTTTCAACGCGAATATACTATTTCAGATAGTTATCTTTTTTTAAAATGTGTATATATTAAATAAGGATAAAATTAAAAAGTTATCATACTTTAGTAAAAAATTAATGCATTTTGAGCATGATCCTAGTCTATGTAAAATATGTTAAAAGTGTCCATTCTTATAAATAAGCGGAGAGAAGTAATAAATTCACTTCTTCCCAGACTTTTTTTTTTTTTAAAAAAAATCTGATTGCTAATAATGCCGCTCTATCGGCAAGAACCATGCTTTTTGTTGGGATTATCAATGGACATATGTATAAATGCAACTTCTCCTCTAATTTATAAACTGGATTGTCACTTTCCCTAAGTTTTAATATTAAATACGATTTATTAATTACCAATATACGTGGCTCATCCCACGTCTTAAATTCAAACCTCAATTGAATCATATAACTAAATAATACTCCTCTAATCCTTAATATAAGACCTATTTAACAAATTTGATTAGATTAAGAAAGTTAGATAAATTAGTTAATTATAAGAAAAGTAACATATTTTTCCTAAAACACCATAATCATCTTTCTTAATACCTCATCTCGCTCTTCTACTTGATTGTAGTTGAGGGAGTATTCATAGGGGTAATTTAGAGAAAATTAATAAATATAAGAAATTGGTCTTATATTTAGGATCAAAACTAACTCAAGAATTGGATCCTATATTAAGGATCGGAGGAGTATTATTTTGTTGAGTCCAATCCCATACACACAGTGACACAGTGAGCATGCCGGGACATATAACAAATTTATACATATATATACTACCTCCGGTCTTAAATATAAAAGTTTAAAAGTTAGTTGACTAATTTAAATAGGTTAAGGAAATAAGTTAAGTTAGTTATTTGTAATAAATATGTATTGTCTTTATTAAAATATCCTTACTAAACAAACAAGTGTCCTGACTAAAACTATCATTATTAGAAGGACTATATTTAAAAAAATTGATAATCATAAGAAAAAAATGAATTGAGATCTTATATTTATTATCAAAATAAAAATCAAACAAGATCTTATATTAAATATAAAAATATATATTTTAATCGTGGCTGATTTAGCTTGCATGTTTTTTTCCCTGTCATCAATCGTCCGTACGTACCATTTAAAAGTAGCTTGATGCTACTGTAGATGACAAATCAACTTGATGATATGATTTGACCCTTCATTAAATTTTTAACAGTTTAGATGATTGATATATGGAGCGTTCTCCATGATTGCCAATATATTAATATACGGTGATTTGACCATTCTGTTTTTTTTGTCCGCCGCGATTTGACCATTTATTTTAAGAAGGTAAATGTAAAAACTGTGTAGGCGAAAATAAAATCATAATTTTAAAAATAACATTACTATATACAAGTAAATATGTCAAAAAAATTTTGTTTCAATTTATAAAAAACATTTTTTAAAAATAATTTTGGGGCATTCCAAATACTCTCATAATTTTACTTCAGATACACCCAACATTTCGATTGCTATAATAATAAAATTTTACTCAATTTTTTTTAGGGTGCAATTTTTTCCAGGTGCATCAATTAGTGGTATTTAATGCGTTTGTGTTGAGGACAGACTAGTTTTATTTCTTCAATCCAAATCGTAATTTTTTCTTGGCCTGAAATCCAAATCGCAATAAAACACGGAGTAACGATAAAATTTTTAAAAAAAGACTAAAGTTTAAGTAAATATTTTAATTAATGAGAGTTAAGTCTGCCAAAAGTTTCGTTCCGTACCGAACTGAGGAGCGGGAGGCAATAGAGCCAAATGCAGGCAAACTAGAAGCTGCAGGCTACCAGGTATGGTCCTCATATGTGGGTACGTACGTACACATGCATATATATATATATATATATATTATCCTTATTATTTGTCATTTGTAAGAGTTTTTCATATGTTAAAAACATTAAATAGATAAAATCTTTACTTTTGTTCTTATTGAGGAGAGCATTAAAATTAGTATATTTTCTCTCAATCATTTATTTTCTGCACTTGTACTATAATTAATAAAGATAGAATTGCAAATAAAAACATTTAAAAAAATATAAATGACAAATGAAAAAGACTAAAATCTCCCTATAAGTGATAAATACTAAGCACTAGAGCCACATATATAATGTCACTCGTCACGCTTAATGTTTGTCTTTCTACTCCAGTCAATTTTCGGTTTCCACATAATTTGGAATTATTTATTATATGTAAAAATTGTAAAATAAATAAACAGTTTAATTTCTTTCAGGATTAGATTGAACTATTTGATTTGATTTAACCGGTCATTATTAATTGGGCAAATCAGTTTTTGACTGCATGCCTTTGAAATATTCCAAAAACTTATTCAATTGGAAAATGATTAAATATATTTACAGAATTTTATGTTAACTGTCGAGAGTCTAAGACATGCTCATTTCCAAGGACAGACAGCCTAACATAAGATACTTTTTGGTCTTATTTATAAGTTACTTTCAATACGTTTTATACAGATTCAGAAAAACTTTAAATTTTATTAACTCTCATTTAAAATTTAATAATTTTTTAACTTTATCTCTATTTAATATACATCATACCGTATGTAAGCAAAATCAACCCAATAATAAATAAAGGGTAAAATTATATATCCATATAAAAAAAATTTTATCTTATAAATAGAACTAAAAAAATATCTGCTTCCTATTTTATAAATAGGATCAGAGTATGATGAAAATAAACATAAGAGGAGATAAGTAAATAAGGGAATTTGAATTAAATTGAAATGTTAAGGTAAATGTCTTTTCCACCATGGGTATTAATTGGCTGTGTGGGGGTCACTTTTTTTTTCCCATTAATCTTCCCCACGCCTTTCTTCTCATCTTTCACCCCTTCTCCACTTACCTCGACATGCACACTTTCATTTTTTGTTTCTGGGCAAGCAAGCAAACAAAAGTTTCAGTTACAGACCAGAAATATAGACAAGGACTTCTAAATGATAATATTAATTAAAGTAATTTTTTAAGCTTGATAATTGACATCAATTTTAACTGTGTAAATTGCCCAAATATGTAAAATTTAAAACTAATACTTTTTTAATATAAAAACTATTTACCTAATTTAAGTAGATTAAAAAAATTAGTTAAATTAATTATTTATCATAAATAATTATTTTTTCTCTAAAATTTTCTTATTACTTATGTGTATTAGTTAGAACTGTTATTTGATTAAACATTTAATGTATACATCTATTATAAGGACAACTTTGAAAAAATAAATAAATGTAAGAGAAAAAGTAAATTAAAATATTATATTTATGATTAAATTGAATATCAAACTAGATTCTATGTTAAGAATCAGACGAAGCATTTCTTTTTTTTAATGAATGAATATAGGAGTATTTTAGTAGAGGTAACCTTTGAGCTTTTAACTTTAATGGTCTTCGAGTTGAATTCTTCAAAAGAAACACCTTAAGCTTTAATCGCTCTGCCGCTGTCTGTACAGTGCGCATGCAAGACTAACCGCATGCACGCCTCCTGTTCTCAAATTAATTATTATTAATCTACCAAATCATATACCCGATGAAAAAAATTAAATAACTGACACTCATTCTTTTAGCGTGCTATAACTCAGTTCCCACACCTTAAAAACCAACACTCAGTTCCCAACTCATCCACCATATGCTGACAACTCAAACTAATGGGAGTTGATCTAACGGAGGGAATTAATCCTTCACTAACGAATTAATATTCAAATTTTTGTTAAAAACAGTCCTCATATCTAATATTTGATAGTGTTTTAAATAAGATTATTTTTAATAGAAGGATACATATGCGTAGAAAAAAAACAATTCAGAATATTGTTAAGATGAAGTTGCATTAGCATCAAGTGGGATTAAAATGAAAATGCTGATGGGCTATAGATGAAAGGCCCAGGCTCAGGCCCAATATAGCCTACTAGACCCTTTGTTTTTAAGCTCATATTTTTAAAATTATTTTTCCTGCAAATTAAATACATCCATCTCCCGAATTTAATAAAAAAAAATGAGTAGAGTTTAATTTTCAATTTTATTGTTCTCAATTTTTTTTTGGATACTTTGTCTCGCTAGGACACAAAAAATTACATCTAAAATATTAAATTACTGAGAAAACGGAAAGCCTACTTCACTTTTATGGGTAGACAAATTAAATAGATATAAAAGTAAGTCATGAATCCCAATGTATATTTATGCCATCTCTCCCCCCCCCCTCTCAAGCCTGATGTTATGCTTTGCTGTGTTACTCTTGAAGTTTGTGTGTGTGTGTGTGTGTGTGTGAGAGAGAGAGAGAGAGAGAGAGAGAGAGAGAGATGAGAATGATCTGTATCATTCAGAAAAGAAAAATGTGGTGAGATAGTAATGGAAGAGGACCACCGGATGAAGAAGGGTGGCTTTCAAGCAAAGAGAGGAGTGAACATGTTCACGTGTTGGGTAGTTAAAGTCACTTCCTTTGTGTTATTGTTTTTGAATAATAAGGCATGCTCATAGCTGGCTGATACAAAGAAAGAGATATGGGAACTTAAATAGACATTAAGATGATGTTTGGATTAGCTTTAAGTACTTTCGTGAAAGTACTTTTTTTTTTTTAAAATCGATTTCAGGAGTATTCAAACTCACCCTAATCGTCTAAGGTTATAAGAACGATCAGATCCGTGACCATCCGTTTACCAGGAAATTTTCACATCACTGGGTCTGCACGCAATTTTTGAACTAACCAATCTCATTAATATCATATTCCACTAGGAGGGCAGTGACGTTTGGAAGATCTGGTTCGTTGCTTTTGATGAATCAGTAGCAGTCTCGTTCAAGCAGATCTTGAGACATAAGCCTTTGAGCATTCACGCATTCTTCGATGTTCTTTTCTTCACCTTCTCTATTATATCGCGCCCCAAATGGAAAAAATATCAATTTAAAATAGCAACTTGTGACCAAAAAGAAAATCTATAATTGTTATCTCATCCTATGAATGACAATGATGAAATAAATTAAAATTGGTGAATGTCTAAATGAAGAATAATAGATATCTAAAGAATACTGCTTCACAAATCTTAGCAGCATGAATGGGCTTCAATAGCCTAAACTGGGCTAATGCCAAAGCTTCATGCAGAAGCCAGGTGGCACCGTAGATGTTCTCTTGCTTGATATGCAGTCTGAGAATGTGTCCACAAGCTGCTCTGCAAGAGATGTTGGATCTCCAATGAAGGTATCAATATATACTTTCACAACCCTAACTTCTTGGGTTGTTGCTCTAAAGCTGTACCAAGTCAGAAATTTCTGCCTAAAGGTCTTCTCTATATGTCCTTCACACTCTAATCTTCTAATCACCTTCACATAATACTCAAAATCTCCATCAGAAGAAAACCCCTCTGCATCACACTCCTCAACTTGTTGCCTTTCCCCATTTCTCTTCTTTGATTTGATTCCATCTTGAGGGCATTGTCTCTTCCCAGACCCATTTTCTTGATCCTTGGCCTTGCAACTCGATTTAGACCTCCCCTTTCTTCCTGGCCCATCCTTAAGCATTTCCAGCTTGCATGGAGTGATGGGAAGGCCTTCCTCTGGCCTACCTGCTGCGCAGTCCCTCCTAGCCTGAGCCAGCGGATTAAGCCCATTATCAGTGATCATGTCCTCAGTGACTTGCTCCTCTGGTGAGTGTTTTTTGCCAAGCTTCAACACATCAGAACTAGGTAAAGAAGGGCCAATCTTTCCTACAGCATGTTCCTTGTCTGATGAGGAATCAGCATTTGCCGGAAGTCTACCTTCACCAGTGTTGGAACAGTTAGTGAGGTCACTGGATAAAATTCCTGAAGCAAGCTTGTCAGTGTCCTTTTGATCGGTAAGATGATTCTCCACCCGGTTATCGGTCTGGTCACAATCTGGGTTACTGTTATTAGTTTCATCTTCTACTGATGAGGGATTGGAAAGGCTGCTACAGTTTGTTACTGGGCTTTGAATTCTTTCCGTTGTTGAGCAGTTGGGCGCTTCTTCATCGCCTTGCTCAGTCAAAACACGGACTTCACACATGCTCAACTCCCTCAAATGATTGAAGGCAACAACTTTGAAGACGTATTCTGTGGCTGGAATTAGATCCCTGATAGTGAACTTTCTGTCTGGTAGATACAACGTGCGAGTTGAGTCCAAGGGATAGTCCACATCATGAGCCGCACGATGCCACAAATTGTAACCAACAATATTTTCCCCAGATGGGTTTTCTGAACCCAAAACTACAGTGAGCGATGTTGCAGCGATATCTTCAAATCCCACCATATCTGAAGCGACCAATTTTGTATCTGCAATATCAAGCATGAATAATCACAAACCGCAGAATAACCAAATACATAAAAAAATTTATTCGTGGGCGGGTGGGTTTTAATGGAGCATAACGGCATAGTATAGTCCATGCAGTCAACTCTACCTAATGGGATAGCGCTGGTTGTAGTTGTTTGCAGTGGTGGTGGGTATGTTTTGGGGGGCGCTGAAAATTTACTACCACATTATGCTTTACTAGTCGCTGTTGCATTGAAACCAAATAATAATATAATATGAAGCTTAACTCACAAATCTTTGAAAACCATATCCAAAAATAGTTGCCTCCAACTAACATTTACTTAGCGGCTCACAAAGATCACAAGCATAATATAGTAATCAAAATAAAGAAATGATTACCTTGATATGCCGGACCGGGTGATGGAGGCAAGACTACTTCAGAAAGTGATGAATCCAGCAATTCCAAAGCAGAACCACAGAGTTTCTGGACCTCTGGTCCTGATGAAAGTCTGTTTACAATTCCCCTACCAATCTTCGCTGGTGAGCTAGTTAATGGGCCAACCTCAGTTTCAAGTTTCTTGACAGCCTCATCAATTATTTCATAAATTTGTTTATACTTTTCAGTCCCTTGTAAAAGTTTTTCGGTCAAGAAGACACGATAGCAAAGAATGTCCACACGTCTGGTACACTTTGCCATTGACAGTTGTTTTCTACAACATCTAGATACATATAAAGGAACAAATAATCAGCCGCCTAGCAGAAAAAAATTAATAGCATTTGATTTTGGATAAGCTAATTGATTACATGTTAAAACCACCCTTTCCCTTAAAAGGGAAAAAGCTACAAAATACCTACACAAGTCAAGCATCATAAAAGAATTATGGACTTCCACTGGCTAAATGCTATTATCATAGAAACATGATAATTGAAACCTAATGACCAGATGAAACTAACAGACCATAAACCAGATGCAGACAACGCTTGCTCACTAGGGAAACTTGAAATAGAGGACAGAATTGAAGCAACACCAAAAACATGCATAGTTGCAAGCATACACCAAAAATGCGTACACTATCGCTAATCCAATACAAGAATAGCAGTCTAAGCAAGTAAGCAACGACAACTTGCTCCTTTGTCCCAATACACTTCATCAAGAAAGCAGTCATTTTAATATAATTCAATGCAGCTCCAATTTTCTTGCTAGATCTCTGTATTCCTTAGTCGAGATTTCTATTTAACATAATAATTTCACTTTTTCAAGAAGTGCACACTTGACTACTAAAGTCCTTCTTTCCTCATAGTCCGTCAAGACTTTTCATTGGGTCTTCAAGTCTCCCTGTATGAATGATGAAAACACACATTCCCAAATACAATCATGATCTTGACATTAAAAAACTCAAATCATTTAGTTTCGGTTGCGTCAAATACTCCCAAATATCAAGAGAGAGAGAGTAGGGAAACGAGGAGCAGCCAGCTTTCAATACGATATAATAAATAATATTCGAATCCGTAAAACACATATATGCATAAATACAGACCATTACCCGAGCAAATCATTCACTTTCCCACATGAGACACAGCAGAAATCCCCATCAAGCTTGGGACGAACTCCATTTTTGGGAATGCCGGAACCATCATGTTTTAAAGCACATTCAAGATGGCATGACAAGCCACAAGAAACACCACGAAATGGAGCGTCAGAGTTACATATTAACCACAGGCTAGGATCTTTGTTGTCATCATATTGATGACAAATGCAGCACGAGCATCTTTTGCAAAATGCATCTGCTTGACTTAGGGTAGCTTTGCAAGCTGAATTCTTACAGTATGTGGTGCTACTACTGCCCAAATCTCCATCACCATTAGTGACTAGACCACTGTTTGCTGGAAGAGGCAGCCGAGACGGATTCTCTGTTTTCCTCCGCCTTTTAGCTGGTTTCTGCTCATTTGCATGAGGAGAAAGCGGTTCAAGATCTGTTGTAATTTCCTGGTTTCCTGATTTCTTTTCAGAGACAATTTTTAAAAGATTTTCTATGATTTTCAACTTTGTCAAGCCAGTGTACTTCCTTTCTTTTCCCATCTCTGCACACAGGATTTTCAAAATTTCTTGTCGGCTCCATGACTGCAACGTCTCTGAAGCACCCTGGGACTTAGAAATCTGATAGATAAGTTCTCTTTTTTCTTCCATACTCAACTTGCTGCACTTAGATGGATCGAGCGTGGCACCTAAAACACAGGACAATGCGAAAAGCATTTTAGTAATTATTACATTAATCATTAAATATGGAGGAATATGTTAAACTTTCCAAGCGGCGAAGGAAACTATAATTAGCTCCCGAAGATTCCATCTTCTATTTCTCTTTGCTTCCAGAAACAGATTATTTTGAGAGGCTAAGCAACTACTGATTATAATACACAGCAAATGCAGGTAAAAGCTCAGGAACCAACACAATAGTAGTATATAATTTTCAAAAAAACTGCAAATATTTCAAATTTCAACAGAAGGAAGCGCTTCTAATAGCTCTCTGTTAAAAGGGGAGGATAATAATAAGAAAAAGTTCCCCACGGTTTTTTCAGTGTTGGGAGATTCGACAAAGAAAGGGACTTTGGGATATTGTAATTGTCACCCGAGATTCAAAAGGAAGCAAACAAAGAGATCACAAAAACAATAACGATAAAATCCAGAAATCATAAAATGCTCCTGCAGTACGCTTAAAAACCATTAGCTGGACCATAATGTTGAATCCTGGCTACAACGCAAATAATAAATTCATACATACAAATCCAATCGCACAAGTTTCAGCCAAAAACCAAATGAATCAACGACTCACAGGCAATTTTACCTTCTAAAGTTGAATCCATAACGATAGCTATTCAACAATGAGAAAGAGCCCAACACATTCACACCTAACCCGATATCTTCTTCGCACCTGCAGACCTGGAAAATTTGGGATTAAAGAGATGACAAGAAAATAAAAACAAAAATACCCAGAAAGGGAAACAAAAAGGAAACGGAGAAGGTAAGACTGAAAGGGAATGGAATAAGGAGTACCAAGGAAAGGACGAATGAAATTGCAGGGAAAAAGAAGAACCCATGAATCGAGAACTCCTTCTCAATCACTCTCTGTATGCCTCAAGGGCCATTGTTTGCAGAAGTTAGAGACAAGGAGAGAGAGAGACCACAGAAACAATAAAGAAAGAGAGAGTGGGGGAGATGAAATGAATGAGTCCTGCGAATCAGGAAGCGGCTGCATGTTCACTCAAACCATTTCCCTTTTTTTTAAGGCGTTTCAGTTAGCCTCTTGGGATACTACAAAACCTCCTCAATTACCACTCTGACCTTTCCATTTTATTTATATATATATTCTTAGGTATCTCGTCATTTATTACTTTCCATCAGTCCCTTTCCTTAACATCTCTGACTATTACTCCCTCCGTTTCTTATTATAAGAGACATTTGGTGTTTATGGCATGTTCCTATATATAAGAGACACTTTAAAAGTTGTCTCTACTTTTTTGTGTTGATTTCCTATTTTACTCATATTTATTGTCTCAAATTCACACACTCTTTCCCTCTCACTTCTCTTTCTTTCAATAATTTAATTGTTCTCTCTCATACTCTCTCTCCTTATTAATGAGGGCATTTTTGGGAAAAAATTATATTTTTTACACATTGATTGTTCTTAACTAATTTTAACTGCTTTTTTGATCAACGTAATTCGGTTATTCGTCTCTTATAATAAGGAACGGAGGGAGTATTATACTTCTTCTCCTTCCATCCTTATTTATTTATTTATTCTTATAAATATGCAAAAAAAAAAGTTTAAAAATTTACGTATGTTAATTATATGAGAATTAACTTTTTAAATTTTATTCCCCACTTGGTATCACAGTTTATTTTAGATTTTAACTACTTTTATTTAATGTCCTCCATTTTAAAGGAATATTATTAAAACTAAATAATAATTATACTTTAAAATTTTTTAAAAAATGTAATTAAAGATAAGATGAAAATTCACATCAATGTCACATAAGTGTGTCATATTTTGTGTCCACAAGACTAACCATGAACTTAAAAATGGGAAAAATCGATTACTTGGGCTTTGTTTTGAAATGGTTAGGGAAAATAGAATACTGAAAAAAAGGGGGGAATTTTTACTATCTTTAAAAGTTTTTTCTCCTGATATTATCTCGTCTCTATTTTTTTTCCCTCTCCATTCATATAATTTTAACCTAATTATAATTTAGTTTTTGAAGAATATCTAGATGGCACCCATTTCTATATATTAAACAATAATGTAATAACAATGTCCCGCCTACTCTACCCTATTAACACATACCACATCATGATTTATAAATGCTCAATCGTTTATTCATATATGAGACGATAAGATTTTTGGTATCAAAATTTGCTGCGAAGATAATTTTCTTATTTATGTGTGTCTAATTTTGCAATTGATTGGAAAAAGTTATGTACTTTATGGATTGCATATTAAAAATATTCTATTTTTTCTATTTTTTTAATAAATGTTCAACTTATAGAAGAAAATTATAATAAATGTGATTTCTTTTATATTGAGAGAAGAATGATTAACAAAATATAAAATAAGCATTAGGTTTAGTAGAAAGTGATTTGGCCACTTAGGGAGTGTTTGGATAAAAAAAAACATGGTTTCATAAGTGCTTTTACGGATTACGAAGTAAATATGTGGAAGAAGTTACCTCGTTTTACGAAAAAGTGCTTCTGAAATCACGGTTTTGGAGCACCCAAACAGAGCCTTAAGCACAAGGTTTTGAATTCTAGTTCATTTGAGTACAGAAAATACCTTTAAAAGGACTCCCTCTAATTCAACTCAATAATGCTCAAATATAACATAATCACATAGACATATGAAAAAATAGTAAAAAAATAATATAATTAATCTATCGAATTCAATATATCACACAAAACGCACGTATAATTCGTCCTAATTTTTTATAGAAATAATTCAAGCATGTGAATAAACTGTGTAGACATGTGGCAAGTGCAATATGTACACTCTTATTATACTTGTAACATGAGTGTGGAAATAATAAATACTCATCTAGTCATATTTATAAATCACTTTTAATATGTTTTATATAGACTAAGAAAAATCTTAAATTTTATTAATTCTCATTTAAACTTTAATAACTTTTCAATTTTATCTTTATTTAATATACATTATACTTCATATAAACAAACTCAATACAATAATAAATAAAGGGTAAAATTATACATCCATATTAAAAATTTCTCAGTGTTCTATAAGTAAGACAGAAAAAAAATCTTCCTTTCTTGTTTTACAAATAAGGTCAGGAGAGTACATAATAAGATGTTGTTTATAATTGTTTAGTTTTTCTTTTGTTTTCTTCTTCTTTGAATGTGTCCTTGAGAAGTGGTTGTATTTTGAAGAAGGGTATAATTGTCCGTGCAGAAGCAGCCCACAGATCCTGCTATAATTGCGTCAGGCGTCTTCTGGCCGTACTATTTTCTGCCGCCGGGGCACATGTGCGAGATCAGAAACAACAAAGGGACTAGATGGTAATTTCATGTTGGGCGTCCTCCAGTTTACAGATCTGGATAAGGCAAAAAGCTAAAAGTTGACGGTTTTACGCATGCAATTTTGTGTTTTCTTTTGCTTATCTTATTTCTTCAAATACCAAAAAGAAAAAAAAAAAGGAAACAAATTTTATATTAAAAAATAATGTTGTGTTATTATTGACACTATCAAACATAAAACCAGGCTACTGAAATCCGCCTTGCATTCAGTTAAAAATCAATCAGTCAATTATATACCTCATAAAGAATAATGAGATTTCCTATAAAACTACATATAGAGTGCAATATGATTACAAATAATTACTCCATTCCTCATAACAACTAATGAATTAATTTGGATAGATTAACAAATTTAGTTTTGTTAACTATTTATAATGAATATGAGTTAATTTCACTAAATTATCTTCATAGTTGATAAAAATTTTATATTTAGAACTAAATTTAACTATTAACTAACTTTTATGTAGTTGCAATATAATACAGTATATTCCTTTAATTGAATGAAACAAAACAACTTTACAAAAAATGAGATTAATCTGCTGCTATATAAATTAGGAAAAAAAAATTGAAAAATGCTGCTATATAAATTAGGAAAAAAAATTGAAAAATGTTATTCTATACTATAGAACTCAGCAAAGTTACTCCGAACTTTTCAAAATTTTTGCCCACTTCTAGTATCTTTTTTTATAAGACTTAATTCAATTTTTAGTCTTTCAAATTTATTTTTATTTTAGTTTTAGTCTTTCAAGTTTTAAGTCATAAGTTTTAGTCTCTCAATTTTTTTTTATTTAAAAAATTAGTCCCTATATCTTAATAAAAATCTGGATTATTTTGCCTCTTTCAGTAACAAAACCTATGGTTTGAAAATTGAGGGACTAAAATCAAAATGAGAGTAAATTTGAGGGGTCAAAAATTATAGTAATTCTTTTTATAATTGAAATCAAGTATGGATATATTAAAAATAAAAAAAGAGTTAAATTAAAATACAGTACTTGTTTTTTTAATTACAAAATGATCCTCAGACAACATGGTGCAAACTTTGACAAGTCAATCCTTGATATGGAGATATTTTTGGTTCGTTGAACCACACTTTATGGTCAAACATGTTGGTGAGTACCCGTTGAATCAGTATCAGTATGAATATATATATACTCCTCCGGTCCTTAATATAGGACCCAATCTTTGAGTTAGTTTTGGTCCTAAATATAAGACTCATTCCTCATAGTTATCAATTTTCTCTAAATTACCCCTATAAATACTCCTTCAGCCATAATTAAGTACTACCTCCGGTCCTAATTATAAGACCCAATTGACTTATTTGGAGAGATTAAGGAAGTAAGTTAAGCTAGTTATTTGTAATAAATAAGTGTTGTCATTCCCAAAATATCCTTACTAATTAAGTGTAATGGCTAGAACTATCATTATTAGAAGGACTATCTTGGAAAAAAATGTATAAATATAAGAGACAAAATGGATTGGGGTCTTATAATTAGGACCAAACAAAAAGTCAAACGGGATCTTATATTAAGGACCGGAGGTAGTATAAGAGAGAGGAAAGGTATTAAGAAAGATGGTTATGGTATTTTAGGAAAAATGTGTCACTTTTCTTATAATTAACTAACTTACCTAACTTTCTTAATCTAATCAAATTAGTTAAATGGGTCTTATATTAAGGATCGGAGGAGTATATGTAATTGAAAATGACAACTTTTATATTATTAAAAAATAAATAAAACAGTAAAATATTTAGTGACCTTTAAACGTGGAAGATTATAAATGGTGCGCCGAAAAATACAAAAAGAAAACGTGGAGTATGGTTGAAAGTTGAAACGAAAATGAGAGTTGCCAAAGTAATCATTTGAAAAGAGATACAAACATAATTACGACTGTACACCTAATGGCGCCGACAGATGAATATGAATCTTTCGCCTCCATGGGCTGTGGGATCTTTTTCTTTTTAAAGTATTTTTATTTCAAATGTACGGTAAAATGGTAAACAAAGACCCTCAAAATTGAGTCAAAAAAAAAAAAAAACAAAGACCCTCAAAATATAAAATTACAATTTGTGTACTTCAATTCAGATACTGTTTACAAGCAGAAAGAAAATTTTTAATTCAAAATGCATTCCGGTCTTCCCCGAAGATCGCCTGGGTTTCCAGGGTTAAGTTTCAGCCAACCGTTCAAAAAAAAGGCAAAAAACTTTTCATTTATTATTGTATATACCACTATTATTTTATTAAAATGTTATATATTAAATAAAAATGAAGTTATAATACTGTTAAATTTTAAAACAGAAGTAATAAAATTTATGACGATGTTCTTTTCTTAGACTTGTTGTATTAGAAATGATATTGGTTAGTTTCTCGTTTGTAACTCTTGATTGTAAACTAGTTTCTGATATTTTTATGGGACTTTAGGCTGTATGCTTAGGTATTCGCTTTTTCTTGTGAGCTTTGGTGGATATGTTAGGTTGCATTTAATTTTTATTTGAGTGTTTGTTTTTGGTTATTGGTGGTTGTACTTGTCTTTTTTAATTAATAAAACTGACTTTGTTTTGGTAAAGATAAGGATTTTATATGTCTATTTCAGCTAATATATATTTAAAAAATTACGTCTAAATTTTAATAAATAAACAAGATTAAAAATTATGTATTCTCAATTAAATTATATAG